GCGGGGTCAGGCGGCTTCCCGCGGGGCCTCGACCTGCACCGGCTTCGCCATGAAGACCCTCATAGCTGCCTACTCCGGGGTCCTGAGAGGTGAGCATCAGGCCCGGCTGTCCGGAGGGAGAACTCTGACGGAAGAGCCGTGCTGTCCTGTGAGGGCTGAGTGTCTGGGATTGGAGCTGTCGGCACCCAGGCTCTTCAGGGCCTTGCGGGCTGCTTCTAGAGGTGATGCAGCTGCAGGAGGGTTTTCAGGAAAGGGTGTGATGAAGGGCTCTAAGGCAGGCAGGGAGGCGTGTGTTGGTGTAATGAGGTTACATCGCTGGCGGACTGGCCGCTATGCGGGCTGAGGTCCCAACCTCTTTTCGTTTGGGTCAGCTTGCCACCCTCTCACTCCTCCCACCCCCATTCTTCCCCCTCAGCTCATCTAGGGTCTGGGATGATGGTTACCTGGTCTGATCCAGGCAGCCTGGCACGTTAGTCAAGTGTGAGCTAGATGCATTCTCCACTCTGGCACTCATCAATCTGGGGGAGCCTCTGTTACATCACTTCTCTTCCTCAAGCTTGTGAGGTGATAGTTGAGAACTCCTCTCCAGCCCCCAGCATTGTTCCTGGCCCCTGGCAATTCTCTCTCCTCTCTCCTCACCTCGTGGATCAAATTCTGAGGTGCTGAATGAGTGGCAAGGGTTTTGCAATCCTCTGAAATAGCCACCAGACAGGGAACGTGCCTGGCTGAGACAGGTGTGCCTACACTGTCCTAAGCTCCCCACCCATCCTTCCACCCAGGCTCGGGAGCCCCCTCAGCAGCACCCTAGGTACCCCCTAGTGTGGCCTGGGCCCATGTTCCACCAGTGTGCCACTGAGGCCCTCCGCGAATCAGGGGCGGAGTTGAGATCAAACTCCAGAGCTTTTCCCACAGGAGGAAGAGCATCCCTTCCACACCTCCCACTTCTTACCTATACTTGCAGAAACTGAGGTGGCAAGAGGCATGACCTACCCAAGGTTTCCTTGACAAGTGCTTTGGCCAGGAGATTAAATACAAATCTAGGAGAACCTGAGACATCCTCACAGCTGTCCTGGTCTGTGTGTGTGTCTTTCTTGAATCCTCCTGAGCTTCACCTAAATCTTTACTCTGTTTGCTGAACCTCTTCTACTTAGGGTTTTTCTTTAGTAACTAACAATAGCCTACCCCACCCACCTTCATTATAAAAATAAAACATACGAATTATTGGAATTTTGGGAAAATATAGAAAATCAGGAAAAAAATACAAATTTTGCTGGTAAATTGACTATCCAAAGATAGCTTCCTGGTAATGTTTTCATCTGTTTCTGTATCATTTTATTTGTGCTCATTATTTAGATAAAGTTTAGAGCATGATGTAGATACAGTTCTGAGTCCTATTTTCTCCCTGTTAATGTTAAATTATGAGGATTTTCTTCTGTTACTCCCCTTCAACTTACAATATTCTAGTGCCTGCTGGATAACCACCCTGGAGCTGTATCACATTAACTGTGTCCGGGGCATTGGCATTGTTCCCTGTGTGACTCTTGGTGTGATTATCTGCCCTTCTTGATCTGGATGCTGCTTGTTGCCCTTGGAGAGGTACTGAGCTGCTGTCACCATCATGGGGACAAGCAGCCTGAGCTGCCCTATGCACCTGGCCTGACAGCCTCTGACAGCCCCTTTTCTCACTTAAGAGTGCTCGTCAGAAGGTAGGGGTGCATTATGGCTCAGAGGTAGAGCACATGCCTAGCACGCGCGAGGTCCTGGGTTCAATCCCCAATACCTCCATTAAAAAAAAAAGGGAAAAAAATGCCCGTCTGTTCACTGTGTCATTGAATGGCCATAACTGGGGAAGGAAGGGACTTACCCATATTCATGCTTTTAAAAGGCTTTTGTCTCCAGGGAATGGAATAAGAATGCTCTTTGCGATGGTCCTTCCTGGAGATCCCCTTCCCTCACCTCTGCTGTCCACAGGCTGTGAGCTATATCTTCTAGAAGCAGGTGACCCTGACTCCTATGTTTTTGACCTAGAGTTTGTGATTCAGGAGGACTTCTAGTGAATGATTTTGACCAAGTCAGTTACTATCATATAAGGATTTCCCCATGTTGTTATCAGGTCTTGAAACTTTTTTTTTAAACTGGCTGCAGACAGTTCCATCGTGGTATGTAGCAAGTGCTGGTATGAAATGCAAACCAGTCACTTTAGCTCTCTGGCTTCCACTTTGGTGAAAGACTGGGTGGGGTAGGGAGGGTGCTGAGGCAAGTCCTGTGTTATCTGGCATCTCCATTGGACTTGCTTTCTACATCCTTGGTCTTTGAAGACACTCTCCAGTGACCTGGTTTCCCTCTGCCAATAAGGTTCCACTGTTGTGAGGTGGTGAACATCCCATCAGTGGTGATATTCAAGGAGAGACCATGACTTCTGTGAAGGGAAGTCCTATGATGGGTGAGATTGAAACAGCTACTTTGGTGTCTGGTTTCTTGGCCGAAAGAAAAGGCGCTCTGTGGGAAAAGGCTGGAGGAGACAGGAGTCTGTGTTGAAATTTTCTAATCTCTGAAGGATTTACCTGTGCCAGGGGTGGAGGGTGCAGAGTTAGTCTTGTTTGCCTCCCTGCCTTTGCCCTTTGATGTGAGGCTTTTCAGGTCAGAGCCCTCTGACAGCTGCCTGTATCCCAGGGTTCACCACAGGACCCAGCATGAAATGGTGGCAGCCCCAGTAACATTCTGAGCTGATTTGTTCTGTGTAGCTCCAAAGAGCAAGGCCGGAGATGGGGGTGGGATTATAGGGGGCAGATTTGATGTAATGGAGGAATCTTTTCTAAACAGCTGTTGAGAACCACAGCAAGCTTGGTGTGGATGGGAATGGAGCTCCCCATCACTGGGAAGATGCAATCAGGAGCTTGGTAGGGGTTGAAACTAAGAGGCTGGATTGTTGACGGTAGGGATAACTCTGGTACTGAGCCTTGACAGGCACCTAACCCATCCTAAATCATAGGATGAGAACATTGCTCTCATGTTCCCATCACCCCCAATTCTTTGTACTTTCCCTTCCCCACACCATTTCCCCAACTGCTCAAATGCCATGTTGGGGCTCTCTGTGCTACTGAGGGTTCTTCTGGGCTGGAAAAGGAGTAATATTTTACTAGCAGGCTGGGTAACTCAGTGGCCAATGAGGAAATCCTGCCCTGCCCCAATCCCCTCCCAGCCCTGAATTCAACAGCAACGACTTGAGTCGTAAAATGAGTCATAAAATCATAGCTCTCTGTTAGCGCTGGATCTGGCCCAGCCTTCATGTTACAGACGGGACACTGGGCCCCAGAGAGAAGGGCCTGGACTAGGGTTGTCAAAGCCAAGGCTGAAACCCAGATCCATCTCCCAGTCCGTGACTGGCCACCTTAAGCCAGGAGAGAAATGTGGTGAGGCCATGAAGGGCTGAATGTGGGGCTCTGGCCACTGTAGGTGCTCATTTCCTTTATTGTTTTTTTTTTTTTCAGTAGAGGTACTGGGGATTGAACCCATGACCTTATGCATGCTAAGCATGCACTCTACCACTGAGCTATACCCTCCCCACCTCTCCACCTCTCCCCAGGGGTCTTCCTGTTTGCCCAGCATTCCCACCAGTTCAGTCCTGTCTCAGGGCCTTTGCGTGTGCTGCCCTCTGCCCAGGTCTCTGCATGGCTGGCCTCTGACCATTCAGTCTTCTCTCAGAGGCCTTTTCTGACCACACCATCTGGAGAGCCACCCCTTAGTTGCGACATCTTATTTTATTTTTCATAGCTCTTCTCTTGACCTAAGTTCTCACATGTACTTATCTGTTTAGGTGATTGTCTTCCCCAGAAGAATGTCAGCCCCTGGGGAACAGGAACCCTATCTGTCTTTCTTAGTGTTTGTCCCGGCATTTAGCACAGTGCCTGGCATGTAGTAGGTGCTCGGTAAATATTTGTTGAATAAATGAATCATTAATGGGACCTCAGCCTTCCTGAGCACTGCCGCTTCCTCTTGGCAGGAAGCCCTGCTTTTGCTTCAGTGCGATTCCTCCACCCTTCCTCCAGCTTCCTCTCTGCCCACCTGCGCTGGGTGCTGGGCCTCCCACCCGCCGTCCCCTGCCCTGGAGACACCACCGTCTCCTGAGGAGCCGGCTCCAGGGCTGAGTGCTGTGTGGGTGGGTGGGGCTGGCTCACCATGGTCCCCTTCATTGCACCCAGGGCTTAGAAGCTGGAAAGCTGAGGTTCCAGCTCTGGCTTCCCTCAGGGACCTGGCTGGGCAGCTCACTTCCCCTCTGGGAAATCTCATTCCCCCTAAGTGGAAAATAGGATCAGAAATCTCAAACTCTCAGAGAGGTGAGGGTTTAGGTGAATGGAAAGTACTTTGTAAAATAACTTGTGACGCGCATGTTAGTCCTTGTCATTCACTTCGTGTGGCACATACAGCAGGCCCCCAACACTATGGAGAGCAGAGCTTGCTCTGGGGCTTCCAAGAAGGCTTCCCCACAGTGGGGACTTGGGCATGGGCCCTTGGGTTTATTGATGGAGCACCTCTGTGTGTCAGCCTCTGTACTACATGCAGGTCGATCAGCCCTGGTCCCTGCCTTTGAGGAAGTGAGCCTAGGGAGATGTATACAGGATGATAGGGCACAGTGACCCATGCAGTGATGGGGAAGAAAGCACAGGGAACTGTGGAGGCCTGAAGGTGAGGGTGGGGCAGCTAAATCATCCTGGAATCAGGGAGGGCTTCCTGAAACAGGTGACATTTAATCTGGACACCGAAAGATGAACAGGGGTTATCAAGGCAGGCAAGAACATTCATGTACAGGGACCAGCATAAATAGAGGCGTGAGTTTAGGGTGGGAGGGAAAGTCTGACTGCAGGGCCTCTGGTCTCCCAACCTGAGCTGAGGTCCTGGAGTGCTCAGAGACAAGGGACACAGAGGATGCTGTGTCCAGGCCTGGGGTGGCTCACCTATGCCCTTTGCTGGGGTGAAGGTAGGGGGTGGATTTGAGAGCTCCTGCGAAAGGAGCCGGGAGCACTCAGAATTTCTTGGCCTCTACCACTTCTGGGGCCTCCTGGGTATGGAGCTGCTGCTGGCAATTTTG